CGAGGCCGCCGAACCTGTGACCGAGGCGCAGACAACTCATCAGACCTAGGCGGGCCAGCTTGCGGCAGGTGCAGCGCCGGGGGTCGCAGTGGCCCAGCTCCCACATGGCTAGCGTGCAAGGCAGCGGCGCCGAGCTCCGGCTGTCCCTGTCCTCGGCCGTCTCTGGCTCCACGGACGCTGCACCGGGCGGAGAACGGGGCCGGGTCACGCGCGGCTCCGCCGACCTGCCCTGGCCTCCGACCCCAGCCCCGGGCCCGCCGCCGATCACACCGTACTTACCGCGCAGCGCGACGCTCACTTCCTCGGCGAACGCTTCCAGAGAGCGGCCCGCGGGACGCCGAGTGCGGCCGCCTTCGGCCCCCGGCCCGCGCGCTGCCCTCCGGCGGCCCATGGTGGGAGCAGGGCACCCAGACCCGCGGGCGAGCCCCTCCACGGCAGCCGGGCTACACCGCTACACGCGCTAAGCCTGCGACAGGCGCGCCTACTATTTCCGGTGCTCACGTGACCCGGCGGTGCTCACGTGACCCAGCGGCGTTCACGTGACTCGGCGGCGTTCACGTGACTGCGCGCCCTGCAGGCGCCGGGGGTGATGGCGGCGGCGTTGGCGCACCTGCTGCTGCTGTTGGCGCTCGCGGCGTATGGTTAGTGTCCTGGCCCCTGGCGCGCCCTGCCCAGGCTCCGGCGACCCCGAGCCCCTTCCCCGACCCGTCCCCGCCTCCTCACGCCCCGTTCCCCACAGGACCCACGTACGCGGGCGCCGCCAAGATGAAGGTGGTGGAGGAGCCCAACACGTTCGGGTGAGCAGCTTTGCATGGAGCCACGGGCCGGGTCGAGGGGCGACCCAGGGCCCGGTTTCTTCCTGACCCTGCCAATTCCCGCAGGCTCAACAACCCGTTCCTGCCCCAGACCAGTCGCCTGCAGCCCAAGAGGGACCCTTCCCCGGTGTCTGGTGAGTGCCGCTCCGGCCGCTGACGTGGTGGTGGCCAGCGGGGAGCAGGGAACTGGCCTGGATTCCGGGGGGGACCGGGTCAGCGCTCGGGAGCTGGCTCGGGGGTGGGGGGGGCAGGTAGGGACGGACGGCGTCGGATGAGGGGCCCTGGGAGTTCGGGCTTAGAGGCTCATGCATTGGTTTGTCAGCCTTTTAAAATTATTTTTGAGTGCGCGACATTTCAGAACATTCTTGTACCAAGTTAAATAGTTGCCCCCGAAGTTAGTGCTTTATTTCCTTCTCTAGAGGTGACTTCTGTTAATAGTTTGGTGTCTGTCTTTCCAGACGACTTTTATGCTTTTTCATGCATAAGTATACAAGTAAGAAACATGTGTACTTTTTTTGTGGTCTTTGCATTGTGTTTTTTAAAAATAGTACCACTATATGTATAAGTTTGTGCACTTACTGTTGTCATTCACTGTGTGTCTTGTATTCTTCATGGTGGTGGATGTAGGTCTTCATTCTTTTCGCTTGATGCTTCATATTCCATAGGATGGCTCTGCATTCCGCTATTATTAACCAACCAGGGGCCCAGTGCGTGAAATTCGTGCACTGGTAGGGTTTCTAGAGGCCACCAGCCGGGATCTCCCTCCCTTCCCCTGGCTGGCCTCGCCCCCTGGTCAAACTCCCGGTGGAACTCCCCGTGGAGGGGACAATTTGCATACTATGCTTTTATTATATAGGATATGTTGTTTACATTTTTTGGCCATTAGAAACAATGCTGTGAAGAACATACCTGGTAGGGACTGCCTCTTTATAAGTCATGTGACAGGATCCCAGATGTGGTTAGGTTGATGAGTGTTTTTAAAAAAATATATTTTATTGATTTTTTACAGAGAGGAAGGGAGAGGGATAGAGTTAGAAACATTGATGAGAGAGAAACATTGATCAGCTGCTTCCTGTACACCGCCCCCACTGGGGATGTGCCTGCAACCAAGGTACATCCCCTTGACTGGAATCGAACCTGGGACCCTTCAGTCCGCAGGCCGACGCTCTATCCACTGAGCCAAACTGGTCAGGGCGATAAGTGAGTATTGAATATGAGAAACAAATTGCAGTAATTTTTTAATTGAATATTATGTGCGTTAGGGTCTGTGCTGAGGATACAGGAAGAACAAAACGTACAATACTTGTCCTCATGGACTGGAGAATTTAATGGGGTGTAGGCAATAAACAAAGAAGTAAATGAAGTGTAGAATGTTTGATGCTCTGTAGGTGTGATAAGCAGAGTGTGTGTGGCGGGGGGGGGGGGGCGGGGTGTTTTATTTATTTATTTATTAGAAAAACAAGCAATAACATATTGACCACAGCAAAAACACACTTAGGACATTGAAACAAGGAAGAGCATAGAACATGGGTAGGGGACGTACAGTGGCTTTGTAGTATACCTTGATATCTGGTATTGTGATCCTTCTAACTTTGTTCTTTTTTCTCAAGATTGTTGCAGCCATTTGGGTCTGTTTTGGTTCCATATAAATTTTTGGAGTATTTGTTCTAGATCTGTGAAATATGCCCTTGGTAATTTAATAAGGATTGCATTGAATCTGTAGATTGCTTTGGGTAGTCTGGACATTTTAATAATGTTAATTCTACCAATCCATGAGCACGGTATATGCTTCCACTTGTTTATATCTTTCTCTGTCTCTTTTTTCAACATCCTATAGTTTTCCGAGTACAAGTCTTTTACCTCCTTGATTAAGTTTATTCCTAAGCATCTTAATTTTTTTGTTGCAATGGTAAATGGGATTGTTGAATTTCTCTTTCTGACAATTCATTATTGGTGTATAAAAATGCCATAGATTTTTTGGGTGTTAATTTTGTATCCTGCTACACTGCTGGATTCATTTATTAAATCTAGTTTTTTGGTGGAGTCTTTAGGGTTTTCTGTGTACAATATCATGTCATCTGCAAATAATGAGAGTTTTACTTTCCAATTTGGATTCCTTTTATGTTTTCTTCTTGTCTGATCACTGTGGCTAGCACTTCCAGTACCGTTGGGATTTGGATATGGATTACATTGAATAACTAGGTCACTTTTGGTAGTTGAGATCTTAATATTAAATCTTTTTATCCATAGACACAGGAAATCTTTCTGTTTATGTATGTCTTTAATTTCTTCCAGCAGTAACTTGTAGTTTTCAGTAGATAAGTGTTGTGCCTCCTTGAATAAATTTATTCCTAAATGTTCTTCTATTCGATGTTATTGTAAATGGGAATATTTTCTTAAATTTCTTTTTTTGGATTGTTCATTGTTAGTGTATAGAAACACACTGGGTTTTGAGCATCAATTTTATATCCTGCAACTTTGCTAAATTTATTTGCTCTAGCAGATTTTTGTAGGGTTTTCTACATTTATAAATATGCCACCTGCAAACATGACAAAATAATTTTACTTCTTCCTCTCCAATTCATCCTTTTATTATTATTCCTACTACTACTACTACTACTACTACTACTACTATTTACTACTAGCCTAATTGCTCTGGCTAGAACTTTCAGTATGAAGTTGAATAGTGAATAGCAGTGCTGTGAGCATCCTTGTCTTGTTTCTGATCTTGGGGGATGCTTTCAGTTTTTCACCATTGAGTATGATGTTAGCTATGGATTGTGCATAGATGCCGTTATTATGTTAAAGAAGCCTCCTTGTCTTCCTCATTTGTTGAGTTTTTTATGGTGAAACTTGAATTTTGTCAGGTGCTTCTAGAACAGTTGAGATGATCCTATGATTATCCCCCCTTTCTGTTAGTGGGTATACTTTAGTTGATTGGTTTTTGTCTTTTGGACCATCCTTACATTCTAGGAGTAAACCCTACTTGGTCATGGCATAGAGTCCATTTAATGTGTTATTGAATTCAGTTTGCTAGTATTTTGTTGGGGGGGGGTTACATTAATATTCATAAGAGATGTTGATCTGTAGTTCTCTTTTCTTGCAATGTGTCTTTCTGGCTTTGTTGTCAGGGGAATGCGGCCTTAGAAAATTGAGTCAGGAAGTATTTCTCCCCTTTAGTTTTTTGGGAAGAATTTGAAGAATTGATAATTATGTGTGAATTGTCCAGTTCATCTAGGTCAGTGATGGCGAACCTATGACACGCGTGTCAGAGGTGACACGCAAACTCATTTTTTTGGTTGATTTTTCTTTGTTAAATGGCGTTTAAATATATAAGATAAATATCAAAAATATAAGTCTTTGTTTTACTATGGTTGCAAATATCAAAACATTTCTATATGTGACACGGCACCAGAGTTAAGTTAGGGTTTTCAAAATGCTGACACGCCGAGCTCAAAAGGTCCGCCATCACTGATCTAGGTTATCAATCTGTTGGTTATCAAGTTGTTCATAGTATTCTTATAATCCTTTTTATTTCTGTAAAATTGATAGTAATGACTTTCCTTTTATTTCTGATTTAATAATTTGAGTAATCTTTTTTCCTTAAACAGTCCAGCTAAGGATTTGTTGATTTCTGTTGAACCAACTTGATTTCAAGAACCAACTTTTGGTTTTACTGATAAATTTCCTCTTTCTTCCTGCTGCTTTGGGTTTAATATGCTCTTTTTCTGACATATTAAAATTTAGGTTATTGATTTCAAATCTTAGTTTTGAATTTTTTTATATATATACTTTTATTTATTTACTAGAGGCCCAGTGCACGAATTCGTGTACGGGTGGGGTTCCTCAGCCTGGCTGACTATCGGTGCCGATCAGGGCTGCAGGAGGTTGGCTGGTAGGGTGGAGGGGCCGTGGGAGGTTGGCTGTGGGAGTGTCTGCCCCCTGGTTGTCAGTGTGCATAATAGTGACCGGTCCTTCGGTTGCTTAGGCTTTTATGTATATAGATTTATTTATTTATTTTAATCCTAACTCGAGGATATTTTTTCCATTGACTTTTAGAGAGAATGGAAGGGAGAGGGAGAGACAGACAGAAACACTGATGTGAGAGAGAGACACATCGATTGGTTGCTTCCCGCATGCTCCCCGACCAGGGCCGGGAGCCTGCAATGGCGGTACATGCCCTTGTTCAGAATCAAACCCCGAACCCAGCAGTCCACAGGCCAGTGCTCTATCCACTGAGCAAAACCGGCCAAGGCTTGAATGTTTTTACAGCTATAACTTTCCTTCTTAGCATTGCTTCCGCTGTATCCTGTAAGTTTCGGTATCTTGTGTTTTTGTTTGAAAGTATTTTCTAACTTCCCTTGTGATTTCTTCTTTGACCAAGTGATTAAGATTGTGTTATTTAATTTCCATATACTTGTGAGTTTCCCACTTTTTATTGATTTCTGTTTTTCAGTGTGATCAGAAAAGTAACTGTGATTTCAGTCTTTTTAAGTTTATTAACAAATAGTTTTGTGTCATAATATATGGTCTGTCCTGGAGAATGTTCCATCTTTTCATTTTCAACCTGCTTGTGTCTTTAGACCTAAAGTGAGTCTCATATAAGTAATTTATTTTCAATTCATTTGGCCAATCTGTGCCTTTTTTGTTTTAAATATATTTTTATTGATTTCACACAGGAAGGGAGAGGGGGAGAGAAAGAAACATTGATCAGCTGCCTCCTGCACACTCCCTACTGGGGATCAAGCCCGTGACCCAGGTTTGTGCCCTGGCTGAGAATTGAACTGTGACCTCCTGGTTCATAGATCAGTGCTTAACCACTGAACACCACCAGCCGGGCCAATCTGTGCTTTTAAAAAATGTATGTTTTTATTGATTTTGTCCTCTGTTTCTTCCATTAGTTTTTTGTTGTTAATCCTCACCCAAGGATATTTTTTCCATTTTTAGAAAGAGTGGAAGGGAGGGAGGGGAAGAGAGAGAAAGACGGAGAGACATCAATTGGTTGCCTCTGCACACCCCCCAAACTGGGCGGGGAATCAAACTTACAACCCAGGTATGTGCTCTTGACAAGACTCGAACCTGTGGTCCTGCCGTGCGTGGGCCTAAGCGCTAGCCACTGGACCACACTGGCCAGGGCTCTTCCTTTAGTTTTTATTGACTGTTTTTCTTAGGTGACATGTTTGATTTTCCACTTTTCCCCCTTTGTGTATATTTTACATATAGTTATTTTTATCAGTGGTTACTATGGGGATTATGTAACATTCTAAAGTTCTTAGTCTATTTGAGTTTATACCATCTTAACTTCAATTGTATATAAAAATTACTCCTACACAGCTGTTTCTCTATCAACCTTGTTGTTTTTACCGATTACCTCTTAAACATTGTGCACCTGCTAACATAGATTTATAATTTTTTATGCATTTGTCTTTTAAATTCTGTGTGTTTACAAAGCAGAATTGCAATGCTGGCTTTGTAATTTGCCCTTTACTGGAGGTTTTTATAGTCCTTTCATTTTAACTTGAAGGACTCCCTTCAGCGTTTCTTGTAGGTCAGGTCTAATTGACAGTGAACTTCCTCAGCTTTTGTTTACCTTATTTTTGGAGGATATTTTCCCTGGATATACTAGTAGAATCCTTGGTTGAATTTTCATCCCACTGCTTACTGGTTTCCAAAGTTTCTGCAGAGAAATCAGCTGATAGTCTTATTGAAGACAGGTCACTTCTTACAGCTTTCAAGACTTGTTTTTATTGTTTGTTTGAAAAATAGTTGTAGACAATTTATTTAAATATATGAACAACCAATGGGCTACTGCAATCCAAGTAAACTCTTCACATTTAGAACCTTTGTGAAGTATAGTAAGATAACGTAAGACTGTTGGTCTTTTATAGATTCCTCCTGCCCCCCAGACCGGGACATAGAGATACAGATAAATGTTTATATAGTTAAAGAGCAGAGGCCCAGGTGAAATTCCCCACCCCAAACTGGCTCCCCAACTCAAAAATTACCATTGGCCCCTGAGAACCCCAAAGACCACCCTCCCAGGTTTCACACAATACCAATTGCAGGAACAGTCGTGCATAGCAAAGTATAAGTTCTATGCATTTCACAGCACAGAAAACCCTTTCAGAGGGCATGCAAGTTGCCGGAGATTACACCCCCAAGTCTGGTGCTCTTGTGATGAGCAACTTACTGGCAAACACATCTCCCAGTGTTGTAAGCAGGCAAATACATTGAGCACATTTTGCTGTAATTCCATCTACTTGTCAAGACTTGGTTTTTGACATTTGTCTCTTGTGTCTTGATGTGGGTCTGAGTTCATTATACTTGGAGCTTCTGGGATTTGGAGATTCATGTCTTTTATCAAATTGGGAAGTTCTTGACAATCATTTCCTCAACTAATCTCTCTGTCCCTTTCTCTTTTCCTTCGGGGACTCCCATGTGTCCCACAGGTTTCTTAGGCTCTGGTCACTGATTCTTCTGTCTGTTCAGATCTACCTCTGCCCACATCATTTTCCTGATATCCTTTGTTATTTGTGTTTTCTTTTAGTTTTTGGAGCATATTTAAGATATTTAAGTGTTTAGTAGCCCTGGCTGTGGTGGTGTGGCTCAGTTGGTTGAGCATTATCCCATGCACCAAGAGGTGGCTGGTCCGACCGATTTCTGGTCAGGGCACATACCTGGGTTGAAGGATTAATCCTCAGTAGGGAGCATGCAGAAGGCAGCCAATTGATGTTTCTCTCTCTCCCTGTACTTTCCTCTCTCTCCAAAATCAATAAAAACATATTTAAAAATAAAGTCTTTAATAAGTCCACTGTTTGGGCTTCTCTCAGATGGTTCTGTCAGTATTTGCCTTTGAATAGGCAGTGTGTTCCTGTTTCTTAGTATGCCTTGTAATTTTTATTGAAAAATGGGTCTTTGAAAACAGACACCTCTGCCAGTTAGTTTGCAGACTGGCTCTACGATGGGGCAGATCTTCACCAATATCTGGGCATATTCTGAGCGTAGAGAGCAGCCTGAGGTGCATCTTGCTATTAGGCATGTACATGTCTTTACTTCCTAGAGCAGTGATGGCGAACGTTTTGAGCTCGGCGTGTCAGCATTTTGAAAACCCTAACTTAACTCTGGTGCCGTGTCACATATAGAAATTTTTTGATATTTGCAACCATAGTAAAACAAAGATTTATATTTTTGATATTTATTTTATATATTTAAATGCCATTTAACAAAGAAAAATCAACCAAAAAAATGAGTTCGCGTGTCATCTCTGACACGCGTGTCATAGGTTCGCCATCACTGTCCTAGAGTCTTGCCTCGAACTTCTGAGTCTCTAGGCCCCCTGCAGCTTTCATGAGCAGTGCCCACTTTTCCCACCTGAGGTCTGAGGTAGGCAAAACAAAGACCAGTCCTCCGGCAGCCCCCAGCCAGGTTGGAACGTTGCAGATACGGTCGGCCTGCTCCTTGTGACCAGCAGGAGGGTTAGGGGTGGGCACAAGACACCTGTGCTACCAGCTTGAAGGTGCTTTTGTCCTTCTGTCCACGTGGTTGCTGTAAACCTGTTTTTCAGAACTCCTCTAGGTTAGCCCAGCCAGTTCTGCTTGCTCTTTTAACGTCACAGGGAAACCAGCTTGGAGCTCAGTCTAAGATTTTGCTGACATCACCCAGACTCCCGTGCTCCATTTTTAAAGTTTAAACCAGCCTTTTTCCTGAACGGCCCGTTCTGTGGGTTGTCAATTGTTTCCGCCTGGTCTGCTTTTCCACGTGCCTGCTCTTACACGGGACTCAGCATGTGGCATTTTCCCTTCTAGGGCCTGCGCATCTCTTCAGACTTTCTGGCAAGTGCTTCAGCCTGGTGGAGTCCACGTGAGTGAGGGGAGGGGTGGCAGGGGCGGGGGCTGGGAACACCCCTGACAGCAGCTGTACCCCCAGGTACAAGTACGAGTTCTGCCCATTCCACAACGTGACCCAGCATGAGCAGACCTTCCGCTGGAACGCCTACAGTGGGATCCTCGGGTGAGCTGGGTGTGGGGGTGAGTAAGTAGCTACAGGCTGCTTGGTGTGGAGCGCTTCCCAACCCAACCCAACCCAAACATATGCTCTGCTCCTCCTCAGCATCTGGCACGAGTGGGAAATCGCCAATAACACCTTCAGGGGCATGTGGATGAGGGACGGTGACTCCTGCCACTCCCGGAGCCGGCAGAGCAAGGTGGAGCTGTGTAGGGTGTGGCCTGGGGGTGGGGCTGCTTTACCCACCTACCAACCAAGTTTCCCCCCAGGTGGAGCTTACCTGTGGAAAAAGCAACCGACTGGCTCATGTGTCTGAGCCAAGCACCTGTGTCTACGCGCTGACCTTCGAGACGCCCCTTGTCTGCCATCCCCACTCCTTGTTAGGTAGGATGCTGGAGCCCTGGGAGGTGGGGTAGAGGGGCTCCGCTAAGTCTGAGTTCACTTGGATCTTAGTGTACCCAGCCCTGCCTACGGCCCTGCAGCAGAGGTGGGACCAGGTGGAGCAGGACCTGGCCGACGAGCTAATCACTTCCCAGGTGAGGTGCTGCGGTGGGCACCCCCTTGGCTGGGTGCAGCACAGTGAGGAACTTATGGGGAGTTTCCTCTTCATCTTTGACCTGCAGGGCTATGAGAAGTTGCTCAGAGCACTTTTTCAGGATGCTGGCTATTTAAAGACCCCAGAAGAAAGTGAATCCACACAGGAAGGCGGTGCTCAGGGTCTGGTGTTTGAGACCTTGGACAGCTGCAGTAAGGTACAGATTGGGAGGGTGGGAGCCGAGTTCTCTGGACACAGACGGCCTCCCGCCCAGGGGCCTGACGTGCCCTTTGAACTTCTCTGTTTCAGGCACATAAAGAACTATCAAAGGAGATTAAAAGACTTCAAAGTGTGCTGACCCAACATGGCATCCCCTACACTAAGCCTGTGGGTAAGTCACGCCTGGGGGCCCAAGCCCACCTTGGGACCTGCTGCCTGTGAGCCAGATCCTGACCTGTCACCTCCTGGTGTTTTGGTAGAAACTTCCACCTCTGAGCACTTGGGCTCCAAGATACCCACAGACAGGACAGCAGAGCAGCTACTTGGCAGCCCAGGGCTGCCTGGGAACACTTTATGACCTGGGAGGGGGCTGAAGACGGACCAGACTGGCATCCTGTAGCAGGAAGGAGCAGCAGGCCGGGACCCTGGTGCAGAGGAGAAGGCCCGGGAAAAGCACGCGACGAGCAGGGTGTGCTTCCTCTGTGCCTTCCAGGCCAGTGGCTCTCAGGATTGTACTCAAAGATACGGACAAATAAAGATTCAAAGTTTTAATTCCATACTGATAAAAATAATTCCATGAATTCTGTAAACCATTGCATAAATGTTGTAGTGTAAAAAAATTTAAACAAGTGTTAACAACTTTAAACAATTCACTAAAGTAAATGATTATGCCTTATAAATACTACCTTCTGGGTTAAGAAAATTCCATTCCAATAACATTCTCATCTAAATACTCAGAACAAACATACAGATTGGGGGCTTTCATAAATTAGTCCACATGAAGCGTCCACACACTGAGTTGAGGTTTGCTGATCAGCTGCACGAGTAGTATGACAATAATATTACTGCTAATATTGAGCACTAGAGCTGAGACACTGAGCACCACACGGCTTTCACTGCTACACCCAGCACTCCCCTCCCACCCACAGAGGGGATGGTGAGGCCCCTAAGCCCATGAGGCCTGCAAAGGGTGGCTCCCTCATAAGATCAGGGCCCCTGCAGGTGGTGGGGGAGGACCCCAAGGAGCAGCCCCCTGGGGGTGTACCACAATGACAGCCCTAACTGCGCCCGGGCACCCTGGGAGTTCCATTCTGGATGGTTCTTTGGTCTTCCCACCACACATCTATTCTCAGAGCCAGTCCTGACCTGAGAAGGGTAAGTGCTCAGGGGCAGCGCCCGAACACCAGCTGTGGTACCCCTGTGGGCACTACACCTATGGCCCCCAAACTCCACAGAACTGACCGAGTAGCTTATAAATAGACCTAAAGCTTAATTGTTCTTAATTGTTTATAATTGTAAAATGTCTAGGCTAGATATCAGTAATAAACACGGTCCTGTTATCCCCAAAAAGGCCGAAGGCCTAACATGGAAAACAAGTGCATAAATATTAATAAAAAATAATTTTAAACAGTGATAACAGTAGCACAAAATATACGTAATTTCTAAGACCTAATAAATCATTATCACTATAATTAAAAACAGGATTTATTAAAACCAAGTCAATAGTTAACCTTTAGTAGCACACTAGCTGTGGAATGTCATGGATCCACCTTTAAAATGATAACTATCAATTTCTTATGTTAAAAATGTTTTAAACTTATTATAGTAAATACATTCTAATTTGGTCACTGATAAAAATTTTTACCTAGTCACTTTGCACTTTAAAAATGCTATTAAAATTCTTTGGCAAAGCCCCAGGCAAGTAGAAACACAAGTGTTCACTTCCAGGCTGGAGGGGCCAGTACCTGCTCCCACCTCCCAAAGGGCAGGTTCTGCGAAGATTTCCTCACAGCAATCGAGATTGGCCTCACTGAGCAAAGTTGGGGTAAACTACAGACATCTTTTACTTCCTCCCACATTTCTAAAAAAAAATGACCCATTGTAGACCAGAGAAGACAGGTCATCACTAAATCAGACCCGTTCTCGGGCGTTTCCTCCATGGACCTGAAGCCAGGCTGCTACGTGGGGGCCCGGGGACCAGCATTAGAGCCAGGTCCTCAGGGCAGCCCCTGTCCTGGCACAGCGCCAGGTCTTCACGGATGACTGACAATACCTAGACGTACAGTTCAGACAACAGTGTCCAAAGTGTCGCCTGAAGTCTAATGTGAAGACGGCGAGCCTGCCCACTCTGGCAGGAGTCCAGGTGGTCCCAGGTGTGGGGAGTGCCCAGGGGCCAGCTCCAGGAAGCTATGCAAAGCGGCTTGTAAAACAGATGTACCCCTTGGTTGCACTTTTCACTAGTATCAAATTGTCTTACAAAGTTTCAAGGGAGAAAATAAAACCAAGTGAACCATTCTCTTTTTGCAAGGCACAGGCACTTAGAAAAAGTGGCCACGGGTCGTAGATGCGTAATTGAGCTCCCTCACTTTGCACGGTGTTGGGAAATAAAACTCCAATTAGTGTGCACGAGCACATGGTTAGGAACAGTTCCTTTCATAAAATTAAAAACATCTAAATGTATGTCTTTCAATAATCACTCTGCTATAAATACTATTTGCACTTAATTTAAAACCTATAAAAATCCTAGGCATTTCTCACTACTAGATAAATGCTCATTTCATAAGTACTAATTTCAGAATATGAAATCTAATATATTTACCATACTATGAATTACAATAAACTGATAGGAAATACTTTAAGTTCACAGTACACATACAAAGCTTCATATGGCATATTAAAAAGACATGAACCTAGAAAGCAGCTTATAGCAGCTGAGACCGTCCACGTAAATTCCTCTGCTTACAAAGTGCTTGGCCGGGACGTGAACTCCCAGGATGTGGTCACAGTAGTGTCAGGACCGCAAACCCCATGTCATTACTGTGCCCACCTGAAACCTGGGCTGCAGGTGGGTGCGGTGGGTTTGCCTTTAAGGTCTACGAGAATACCATGAAACGATGCAGCTGGGCTGGGGTCCCGACGTCGGTGGCACCAGGAAGTGAGGCCACCATGGCTGCTGTCACCACTGGAGGGGCTGGCCCTCGCAGTAGGGGCACTCGGGCGCACTGGCCACACAGGGCTCGCAGAGCACACGGTGCTGGCAGGGCTGCAGGACAGCGCCGCGGGCCGGCTCTCCGCACACCACACACTGCTTCGCTCTGAGCTGGAAGATCACCTGCAGGTGAGAAGTTGGCGGGTCACAGAAAGTCCCTTCCCACCACTGGCCCCCAGAGGCGATCGAGAGCATGTGAAAATAATGGCTAGCGCAGGAAGGCTCAGGACTAGGATGGGACACCCGTGCCAGGGGTCACCCCAGGAACACAGAGATGGAGGTAGAGCTGCTTTTCCACAAGACCTTTAAGTGGAAGACTGGCTCCTGGGGTCTAAGCCTGCGTGGGAAGGACAGGCCAGGATGAAGGCCCGTGACCTGTGGCTGGTGGGTCCAGATTCGGGCTGTCCCAGCCCTTTAACCAGGGAAGAGCCACAGCCCGCAGACTGCCTCGGAGGTGAAGCGATCAGGTATGTGCACTGCAGCCAGACCTTGGCCACAGTCAGCAGAGGAGGAGAAGAGTGTCAAGACGCAGGGCTTTAGAACCTTCCAGATGCTCTGAGTTCTAACAAAATGCCCTGGTGTGGAAAAAGTTTCAGCTGAGCTGAACACCAGGTTTTTGCTACTCCAGAAAAAATAATGAAATCGGGGAAAGAGGTGACCAGTGACATGCCTCAAGCATACACCATGGTTCCAACTGTTTGGGGCAAGAGGGGCATGATTCTATCCATGAGGGCACAGGAGCGGGCTAATGTGGAAGATTCCAGAAAGGAAGGGAGGGCCAGACTGGCCTCCTGGGAGCAGAGCGTGAGCTGCCATCTGAGGAGCGATGAGAGGAGGACCGCACGGGACGAGGAGGAGTGGTAGGCCAGGTTCCAGCCATCACCTGTCCCACACACGGCCAGGGGCAGACATCGGGTACCTTGGAGGCCGAACCAGGACTCACCCCATCCACCGCCTCCAGATCCAGGCGTAGCTGACTCTGCAGCGACTGTAGCTTGGGCAGCGAGATGGCACCGATGTCGCTGCAGCCCCGCAGCCCCGGGAGTGTGGACATGCCCCGGCCTTCCAGCTCCTCCTGCAGCTGCCTGAACTGGGCCTCCACCTCCTCCTTCTTCTGCAGTGCCAGCTGCCGGGCACTGTCCGCTGCCAGCGCACGCTCCTTCGCCTCCTTGGCCTCCCGCTGCCATGCGTCACAGGCCTGAAACCCAGGGGGCTGTAGTGGCTGGCACGGGGCAGGGGGCACCCTGCATACACACTGGTCTCCCCTGAGCTTGGCACCTCCCCAGACTCACCTGCTTCACTTGCTGCCAGGACTCCTCCCACTGCCTGATCTTCCTCTTGGCCTCGTCCAGCTGCCGCCTGACCCGTGCCAGTTCGGCGCCATTTGGACTTGCACTTGCAGTGGATGTGGGGCCGGCATTCAGAATGGGGGACGGGCTGGGAGAGAAGCTGCCGGAAACAAAATCCCAGATGCTCCCAGGGACGCCATTCAAACCTGAGTGTGGAGGAGACAGATGTCAGCCCCAGGCGTGCTGAGACTTGACGGACACCCAGGCAGGACCTGGGACCTCTGGGGCTCCACAGACAAGGCTGCTGCCCCTGCCCTTCCAGCCAGGCCCCCCTCCAGCCACCTGTGGGGTTTAAACAGAGAGAAATGAATTCAAAGTTTCTGTGACTGCAGCCTGTGGAGCAGGACTTCGCAAACTCTGGTCCCAGGAATCCTTGACACATGTAGGGTCCTGAGGCCCCAGAGAGCTTGGGCTTAAAGAGCTCCCACAATAGACAACGTGACACTTGTTGACAGAGTCGCATGTCACTGAACACCAGGGGAAACTTTGAGAAATGCACCATCAGGCAATTTCGTCGCTGAGTGGACATCACGGAGTGCACTCACACAACCCGAAATGGTGTCGTGTAGCCCACTGCACACCTGGGCCGCAGGGTACAGCCTATTGCTCCCAGGCTACAGGCCTGTACCGCGTGTCACCGTACGGAATACTGTAGGAAACGGTAACACAATGGCAAGTTTTTGTGTATCTAAACAGAAGATACAGTAGAAGTACAGTATAAAAGGTGAACAATGGCACACCTGCGGAGGGCACTTAGTACTGAGCTTGCAAGCCTGGCAGCAGTTGCTCCGGGAGAGTGAGTGGTGAGTGAATGAGGCCCAGGTTATTGCTGCCACTACCGCAGACTTCATAGACACTGTCCCACATCCCTCCCGACGGGTCAGAAACAACACTGAAGCTGTCAGTGCTGCTCCCTGGACAGATGTGGGCTGGACCGACTGGAAGTACAAGGAGAGACTGTTTGGGTGAGACCAGATCACAACAGCGACTGCCAGGAGGGAGTGAGGATTAGTCAGAATAAAAGTGAAGCCGGAGAGAGAAAGGAACATGCACTGTCGTGGCCATGTGGTTTTGGCTACTGCATGTTGGAGCAGTGGTCAGATTAAAGAACCCTGTGGTTTTCATTAAAAAAGGCGGTGTTTAACATGGAGAGGGGGTAGAATTGAGGACTCAGTATTTCGACTTTGGGAATTTGGTTCTATTGACTCATTTGGCATAAAGGGCTCTCACTGGCACTGAATTAATGGAAGAAAAACCTTATCTATGCTTTACAGCATTACAACCTGAAAATATTTCCAAAGTACAGGGACAGGCTGGCTCCAGACCTCTGCCACAGAAACCATCTTCTAAAGTGGCCGCGTGGCCGGCATGGCTGTGGTTGAGCATCAACCTATGAACCAGGAGGTCACAGTTCGATTCCCGGTCAGGGGCACATGCTCAGGCTGCAGGCTCCATCCTCAGTGGGGGAATGTGCAGGAGGCAGCCGATCAATGATTCCCTCTCATCACTGATGTTTCTATCTCTCCCTCTTCCTTCCTCTCTGAAATCAATACAAATATATTTGAAAAAAGAAAAAAAAAGTGGCAGTGGCACTCAGTCCTTGTTAAGCCCCTCCTGTGGACCGGACAGGAGCTGAGGTCCTCAACAAACAATGTACAGCGATTACCCTGCAAGGGCGGGGCGCCCTCTGTGCTGACACAGGCGGTGACTAACGGACTCTAAACGGAGGCGCTGAGAGGGGAAACCTGCTGCCAAGCTCCACATGTACGGCTCCCACCAGAGAAGACAGCTCTCCCCGAACCCCAGAGCCTCCCATTGCTCCATTAGAACCCCAAGGGCCACCGTCACATATGCCGTCTGTTGACCACAGTCGTTAGGTGGTGCATGACCAGTTGGGAATTAAAGAGATATTTAAAAATACTAATTCTTTTAAAGTATAACAGGTTACATAAAACAAACAACACTTTTCAATGAAAGGATAATGTAAAACAAGAAATGGCACTGTTCCCTGTTTTTGCAAATCCGCCTGCTCCTGTGTTGGGTCTCTGGTACGTCGCCCCTGCACAGCCTCAGAAGCTTCACTGCACGCGTGAGTGCACACAGCAGGTCGCACCGCAGTGCTGCCACACCATGGCCAGGGCACAGAGACTCTGACAGAGGCAGACAAGCAAATCCGGGTCCGAGCCCCAGGGCACCACCGGCCAAGCAGCAGATGTGTGGACAAGGGGTCGCCTGGGATATATGCCAAGGCCCACACCACAGGGAGTGTGCAGGGCAGCACGGTGGAGCCTTAAATGAGAGGGCAACCAAGTGGGGACATCCACCCGCACCTCGGTTTGTTCAGCAGTAAACTGCCACTATAAGGTATCCCCTCCCCCACAAGCCCCAGCTCACCTAGGGAGTTGTAGGACGAGGCCGAGGAGCCCAGCACCCTGGGCTCCGACTTGAGGGGTGGCGGCTGCTGGGGGGGCGTCATGGCCGAGGAGACAAGAGGCCCCGACAAGGACTGGGAGAGCGAGCTGAGCGGGGAGGTGGACAGGGATGACGAGGATTGCAGGGATGGGGAGCGGGCCAGGCAGCCAGGAATGGTGACGGGCTCTGAGCCCCCCAGCGACCTCTGACCTGTGCAGAGTGGAGGGGCCGGGTTAGTGAGAGGCAGCAGCAGACCTCTGCCCAGGAAACAGCACAGCATTGCCTCTGAGCTGGGGTGCAGCAGCCAGGGCGAGGGGGCACGGGGTGGGGGTGCTGGGGGTCCCAGGCCTGCAGCGACCATGTGGCGGTGCAGACACAGATGTGTCCATAGCTCCCAACCACTCAGACAAGTGGCAAGTGCACAGGACAAGGGTTTCAGCAGGGATCCCACAGAGACAGACACCCACTAGGACCCCACAGCCAACGTACCCACTGGCATGGTGGTCCCAGGACTTTTAGGGCCCCCAGAAACATTAATGTGTTTTAACATCAGAAGAAAAAGATAAGCCGTCTGGCGTGGCTCAGTGGCTGAGCATCGACCTATGAACCAGGAGGTCACAGTTCCATTCCTGTGAGGACACATGCCCGGGTTGTGGGCTCGATCCCCACTAGGGGGTGTGCAGGACGCAGCCGATCAATGATTCTCATCATCGATGTTTCTACCTCTCTCCCCCTTCCTCTCTGAAATCAATAAAAAACATATTTTAAAAAAGAAGAAGAAAAAGATGAGCTTTTAGGCCAAAGAAAATGATTCAGTATGTGTTTATATCCGTCTTCGTGCCAATGCAGTGGTTAAACATTTCGGAAGGCTGTGAAGGCTGGCCGTCCGTGGCCCCCATTCTGCACACCCCACCCCCATCCATCTCTGCAGGGGCCACTTTGCTCAGATGGAGGCAAACCCAGGAGATGTGAGGCTGATCCTGCCGGGGCTGCAGGGTCCTGGAGGAGGGGGATGGGACCTCTCCCACCCTAGGACCATTTAAGGATTCTTGAAAGGAAAGGCCCGGCCAGCCCCAGGCACCCTGACAAGAGCGCCACGTGTCCTCTTCTTACCTGTGGGTCCCAGGTCACTTCCGTCCTGCTCGTCCAGCTCCTTATCCAGGGGAGCGAGGCTTACATCACTAAGATGGAGATCTAAGGCAGAACCTGTCCAACAAGACACCTGTTATTGCTCAGAAACACTCAGCTGCAGCAGGGAGGATGCCTGGCTCTCCGGGGAGCGGGGAACACACCCCTGCCCGCCTTCCACAGCTGGACTCTCTCTCTCCTCCTGCACAGCCAGAGCCTCCAGGCGTCCCACGTGTGGGCCCTGAAGCACGGCCTCACCTCACTGAAGTCAGCTTCCACGTTTAGATCTCACGGGACGACATTTGACCAAGTACACACACTTAACTAGTAAACGAAAATTCCAAGAGGGTGCTATCCACGGGCAAGCGGTTCACAGTCCACGGTGTGAGGCTGCATCGCACTAACACAGGGACCACCGACCCCCGCACCAGGGCCACAGCAGGGTGACCCGCATCCTGTTCTCCCACCCAAACACTGAGCGGGTCCCTCCCATTCCCTCTGTTCACCGAGGACACCATACACCCCAGGCACGTCTGCTCAACAAAACGGGAATGAACGGTGGGGCCCTCGGAGCTGCCCCGCCCTCAAAAGCTTTCCTCAGAAACCTTCTGCAGGCAGGACGGAGGGAGCAGCACTGGCTCGGCACACGAGCAGGAAGCTGTCTTTGGGTGGCCGAGGTCAGGCCAACCAGCCCCCTAAGCCGGAGCATGACTCAGGAGTCTCTGGGGTCCCACAGGATCAGCTCAGGGAAGGTGTGGCCCCAAGACCCTTGGGAAATGCCCAGGGGAGGGGCAGCAGGCAGAAAAACCCTGGGACACACCCCGTGAGCCAGAGCAGCCTTCCCACCCCAAAGTCAGGTCTCATCTACAGGAGAGCGTGGTGGCATCGAAGGCACAGCACGCAGGAGTTCTGGCAGTGAGCACCTCTCTCCCTCCACCCCCACCTCTGGGGACCCACTCGCTCCCCCACAGCAGCCCCTCCCAGAAGTGGGCCTCTCCTATGTACCTGAGCCCTGTCCCCCCTGGTGGCTGAGGGTCCCCTAAGTCCCCCATGATGCCTGGTCAGATGCACCAGGTCTCATTTCAAGAGGCCACAAAGTCACCCTACCCTGCCCCCAGGACAGACATCTCCACAGCCCAGGGACACACCACGGGGACCCTGGTCAGACCTGCTTCTCTGGGTGAGCGAATTGCGCTTCTGGAAGCTCCTGCCTCCGCCCTGCCCCCAGCTGCCTGGTGCCAAGTGTCACAGAGTCCCCTGGACCACGTCCTACCAGCAACATCAGGTTAAAGCGGCCCAAGGAGAGGAGCCACTGTCCAGTCCGATCATGCCCCGCACTTGGCTTTGCCCAGACTACAGGCCACGTCAGAGGCCCAGCCATGTCTCCTGCACAGGGTCATGCAGGAAGCAGCTGGGGCCCAGGCTGCAGGAGGAGCTGCTGGGCTGGGTGGTTCAAACAACTGCATTCAAATATAAGAGTTGAGCAAAGTGCGACTCAAGGGACAGGGGAACCTGCCTACGCTGGGGAGGGGGCTGCTGCCTTTTTAAATGAGATGCATTTACTGTCATCAGCAGGAAATATGGGACAAGAGATGTGTGACTTCCAAAGAATGTAAGTCCTCAGCACAAGCAAATCTGTGGGGAGCCCGCTGCGGTGCACATATAGAGCAGACGCGGCGTCCAGCCCAGACAGGCATCCCCACCTACACTGTCCTCAGCCGCTGGAGGGGACTAGGTGAGTTGACCACAAGAGGGTTCCTAGCCGATGAGCGGTGCTCAGTCTCTGTGGTGTGAGGTCTGTTGCGCACACTGACAGGTAGGGGGCCTCGTGTCCAGGATGCAAGGGAGCAGCACTGCCTGGCGAGGCCCAGGGCCTGCATCTGTCTCCTTGTGTCATCACTGCTGTGTCATCACAACGTGGCCCGCTTGGGAACCAGGGCCCAGAGCAGAGTGAAGACCATGCTCCACTGACCAGAGAGGGTGTTGGGGGATCACTCTGAGCGCCACCCCAACCCCAGCATCAGAGCATCCCAGTCAAGCTACCAAGTCACCTGGAGAACACTGTTCCCCCGCCCCCGACACACACACACTGTTTGTTATCTGTCACCAGGAGCAGTGGGAGGTACCAAGGCCATGCCCACTCCCAAGGAGAACTACTGACACAAGGTGTTAAAGACTTTGAAGGTCTTATCTGGAAAAGTGGGGTTCTATTGCCACCCCCTCCCCTCAAGAATCCCTAGATTCCACCTGTGAGAGGCGGGAAGGTGCTGAGCTGGAGACACTGACCCTGCAGATGCCTAACTGTGCAAGGACAACAGTGGGGGCAGCAGACAGCAGGCCCCAGGCTGGCAGCACCTCAAGCTCTTTTGTCCCTGAGAAGGTGATGGAAAGACAATGAACATTCCTCACTGTGGCCTCCTGAATGTGCCAACAGCAGCTCAGCTGGACCAGCTCCTCCAGCAGGTTCCCCTGATGCACCCACGGCACAGCCAGGCAATGTGGAGCCAGCCTGACGCCACAGTCCAGACCTCAGGAAGACCTTGAGGCAGGGACCCACAGGGGCAGTGCCGACCTCTGCCCTGCCGTCTCCCTCCGTGGGTTCCCTCTCCCCGTCAGCTGTGCTGCTCAAGCCCTTCTCTGCAGCCAGTTCCTCCCTCTCCACAGGCAGCTTCTTCATAACATCCAGGGCCCCAGGAGCCTCTGTGTCTGGGAGCTGCTGAAACCAAGCACCACAGGCCGGGCAGCTTCAAACACCACAAATCCATCCTCCCAACTCTGCAGCCAGAAGTTGAGATCAGGGTGCACAGGGCTGCATTCCCTCTGGAGGCTCCATCTGCCTCTTCCAGCTTCGGCTTCGGCAGCAACCCTTGGCCTTCCTTGGCTGGTGGGTGCATCACCCTGTCTGCCTCCATCATCACATGGCTGGCTCTCTGCTCGGTGTCCAAATCTCCTCCCTCTTTTAAGGACAGCAGTCATCTTGGATTAGGGCTCATGTTAATGACCTCATTTTACCTATTTGGCAAAGACCATTTCCAAATAAGGTCATGTTCCCAGGTCAGTGGCAAGGGGTAGGACTGAGGCATATCTTTTTGGAAAACATAATTCAACCCACAACGAAGGAGATTACCTGGGGACATGCCCACCTGATCCATCCCCTCCAGGCTGTGCTCTGGTGCTTGAATGGGCACCTCCCACAGACCCGGAGCCCAGACCTCCTGGGATTCCTCCACAGACCTGTCCTGTTGCTGCGAATTCTAGTCTCTCGTTGGCACCTACTCCCCAGGACACTACAGCCCTGCAGGCTCTCACACAAGCCTGTCTCTGTTGGCCACCCCCCTCCTCCTTGCCATCCTCAGTTTCCAATTCACTTTTCAATCTGTCGCCCAGGCCGTGCCCTCCGGCCATGTGCCCCAAAACCTCTCTGGTCAAATGCAGCCCCTGCCTGCTGCCAGTCCCTCTCCACCCTCCTCTGCCAGGGGCAACTTCTTAGCCCTCCCACTCTCCTCGGAAGGGAGCTCAGCAGCCCTTCCAGGTCCAGACACACATGGTTTCTGCAGTCCTCACAGCTAGATGCCCCAGATGGCCCTCAGTACAGATGCACTGCCTCCTCAATCTGTGCACAGGTGCCTCCCTCAAACTGGTGCACCTGGGATGACTCACTGAACAGGAGCCCTGTGGGAACCCTTAGCTCCTCCTCCTCCCTCAGCACACATCAGTTAAGCCCCACACTCCAGCCATTTCTCCAGGCTGCCCTGCTCCTTCACCCTGACCTGAACTGTCTCAAGAGTGGCCTTGGCCTTAGCTAAGCCTGCCTCCCAAAAAAGAATGCGCCACCTTGGCATGCAGGTCAACACTTCCCGGCTGGACTCTGCCCCATCCTGGTCCTGCCAAAGCAGCCTTTCCACCCCAAAATGGTTCCTCTTTTGTCCTCAAGCCGTGACACTGCTGCCATAGGCTGCGGCTTCCATTAGCCCCACTAGTCCTGGGAGAACTCCTGCTCAGCCTCCAAAACCCTCTTAGAATCTCCCCCTGCTCCATTCCTGCACGTCTAGACTGTATGAGTGCACCCGAACCAGTGCTGACTGATGTGTGGACTCATCTTCTAAGAGCACTGACCCCCCACCCCCCACCCAACCCTTACACTCTGCCCTGCCTCCTCCATCTCTCCAGGCTCCCGGTGCTGCAGCCGGAAGAATGGAGGCCCAGACGCGCCCTTCATGAGCTGATCTGTCATATCTGCTCAGCCTGGGGCTCTGAACGTGCGGGTTAGTTGGGCCTGAAAACATGGACTCAGCCCTCAGCACCTGCAGTCCTAGGATCAGGTTAGAGAAGGTCAGCTTCGAAGCCAACAGAGTTCCAGAAGCACCGTTTGAATAACACAGGCACAAAAGGGGGAGGCAAACTTGAATGCTGGAGCCTTTGCTCTCCTGGAAGCGATTTATTTCCCGATGCTCCCCCAACCCCACCCCATGACTCGGCACCTAAATGCACCCCTGCTGCCCCCTCGAGTGCAGAGGGGGCATCAGAGGGGCCAAGCCTGGCAAACCACAGCCTGCTTTCAGCTTACAAGGCAGACCAGGCTCCCAGGATGTGTCCTGGCCCACTTTCTCACCAGCAGTACTTTCATCCTACCACACCTTGCTGCTCCCTGAGCGCAGACCCAGTCTCCCAAAATAAAGGGAGAACTGACTATTAAAAAGGCCTCCACATTCAAAATGCAGATGAACCCACCTACATACATAAATTGTGCCATCTGACCCAGAACCGGCCTTGCCAAGATCCAGGGACCTCCCCGATGGTAATGAGAAATTAGCTGAAAGCTGCTGAGTAATGGCTCTGGCAGAGCCCCGTTCCTGACGTGACACAGCACATTGGAGAGGCGCCGCGGTCCCAGGGTCAGGGGACTCACGGGGACAACGCATACCGTGCACAGAATCAAAGGCCAAACTGGGGGACCCGCGGCTGGGGGGGCTCCCCGCACCCACCCGGTCCGCGCCGTCCTCCCCCAACTACAAGACAGACAAGCACCCGGCACACCTACTACTCGCGGGTCTCCCTTTCCGACAGGGTAGGCGCGGGCGGCGATTCGCGGATGAGACGGGAAACCATCCTCTCCCGGGAGCAAGACGCCCACCTCCGCTCGGTGATGAAGGCTCCGCCGAGCAGCCTGGTGGCGGGCGCCCACGCAGGGACCCGCGGGCGCCTCTGCAGAGCAGCTCCTCAGGCGGGCAGATCGCCTTCCCCTCACGCCGCAGCCCCTAGGAAAGCGGGTGCCCACCCCTGCTCTCCCACCGGGCGCGGGCACCGAGGACCAGAGCGAGCATCGGGAGGGGAGGGCAGGCACACCTGAGGGGCAAGGTGCGCGGAGGAGAGGTGGGGAGACGCACCTCACCTGGGGTGTTGGCGCGCGGAGGGGGCGCACCACACCTGAGGGGGGCGCACGGTGCGCTCCGCAGCTTCGCCTAACGACGACCCGCTCCGGAGGACACAGGGCTGCGGATGCTGACTCACGGTCCGCTCCACTGCTGCCACCGCCACCGCGGATTCAAATACGGCCCGCGGCCCGCCCATCGCGCGCCTGTCCCGCCCACGAGTGACGTAGGCCTTCGACGCGCCCCGCCCCGGCCCCGCCCACGAGTGACGCAGACCTTCGACGCGCCCCGCCCCCGGCCCCGCCCACGAGTGACGCAGGCCTTCGGCGCGCCGCCCCGCCCCCGGCCCCGCCCCGGCCCCGCCCCCGGCCCCGCCCCGATTACGCAAACCTTAGAGGGCGCCGCCCCGCCCCCGGCCCCGCCCCGGCCCCGCCCCACGCCGACCCAAGGTGCTGGGAATCATGGCTCTCGCTGCTCTTTGCCGCTGGGCGCTTCCAGCAATGAGCTCCTCTGGTTACTATTTTAATGGTCACTGTTTTTAAATTTTATTTATTTTAATCCTCACCTGAGGATATTTTTTCCATTGGTTTTTAGGGAGAGTGGAAGAGAGAGGGAAAGACAGGGAGAAACATCATGTGAGAGAAAGATTGGTTGCCTCCTACAGGAGCCAAGACCAGGGCCTGGGAAGGGGAGGAGCCTGCAACCAAGGTACATGCCCTTGACCAGAATCCAACCCCAGATCCTTGGGTCCACAGGCAGTCGCTCTATCCACTGAGTCAAACCGGCTAGGGTTGATGGTCACTATTTTTAAATATATTTTTTTTTATTAATTTCAAAGAGGGAGGGACAATAGGAACATCAATGAGAGAGAATTATTGACTGGCTGCCTTTTCCATGTCCCCTACTGGGGATCTAGCCAAAACCCGGGCATGTGCCCTGACCCATAATTGAAGCATAACCTCCTGGTTCATAGGTCAACAGTCACAACTGCAGGACTTAATGGTCACCATTATGATGATGATGATGATGTTAATCCTTACCAGAGGATATTTTTCCATTGATTTTTAGAGAGAGAGAAATATGGATGTGAGAAAGACACATCGACTGGTTGCCTCCTCCTTCGGGCAGGATGGAGCCTGAAACCCAGGTATGTGCCCTTGACCTGGAATCGAACCCGGGGCCCTTCAGTCCATGGGCTGACACTCTATCCACTGAGCCAAACCTGCTAGGGCAATGGTCACTGTTTTAATCTGAAACCTGTTCATATGAAGTGAAAGGCAAAGGAAATGAAATCTGTCAAATGACCTGAGATGATTCCACAAAATCCATTAAATACAGAATAGTCTGGAAACCACACTTATTTTTTTAGTTTACTCTAAATGAATAAATGAATACTTTTAAAATGAATTTTGATTCAGTGCATTTGTAATGATATAACCTGAATGAAACTGTACCCCAGTAGAAAACATCCAGTCTACACCTGTTAGCCCCAAAGCATGTCGGTGGTGGGAGTTCTCAGCAGTGGAAACACTGCCCAGTGAGGGCCCTCCTGGGGCCAGAGGGCAGTTACTTCCATAACTGGGGCAGTATTAGGCCATAATCTTACACGTGATCTCAGGAGGGTGAGCATAGAAGACATGAGGATCACACTGATAGTAGAAGCTCATTATTTTAACAACAGCAACAGAAATGTATTATCTGTAAATGGAGGCAATGTTGATCCTGAACAAAAATTCACCTCTTTACCTCCTGGTAGTTGGTTCAAGAAATATTTAAGTCAATGAAAGTATACACAGCAAGATGGTCAATGACATACTAAAACAGGCTGAGGATGCCCCTTAGGTGTTAGATAATGACTGCAAAAATTACTAGAAATATGTAACTCCAATCTTAAGTCAAACCTGTCCACTGAGGCCCCTTTCAAAGCATAGATGCACCTGGTTCTATATTTCGCTCAGGTGAGCAAAGCCTCACCTATTCAGGGGCAGGAATTTCATTTTCCTAATTAATTTGCTCTTATGCTCAAATTTTACTATTACTACCTTTATATTGGGGAAAAGAAGCTTTCCTTTAAGAACTGTGCTTATCCATAATAAAATTTTGTGCTGCCTAGGCTGGGACTCTTATCAGAGCAGCAGCCGACTCCTGGCCAATAGCCACACCTCCTCAGCCAATTCTGGGACAGAGAGTTTGGAACTTCCAAACAGAAGGCCTTCCCTGAACCTCCCGGTACCAGGACAGAGATGTGTGTGAGGGTCAGCTGAGCAATGCAGAGCACCCTCCGCCGGTCCCAGGTGCCCCACCACTCCGATGTGGCCTGAGGGGGCCTAGGGGACAGCACGGCCCACCACCACCCTCTTAGCTGTCAGTCCATCTTGCTCGTCCCTACATTTTCACCACAGTCCCCACCTGAGCCCCAGGCCTCCATCCAGGCCGTCAGGCAGGTTCCCCCAGCCTGGCTCCAATCACAGGGCTCATCAGTCCACAAACCCTCACTGACTCCTAGCAGCTAGGGAACCACTATAGTCGGCAGCCGTGCCCGCTGCCTTCTGCACTCATCCCTACTCCCTTCCACCCTCGTCATGGCCCCCACCTTCCAGTGCCCTCGCCGTCCCCCCAACTCCCACTTCAATTTCCCTAGAGCCTCCCATTCTCTGCCTTGCCCTGAGGCCTGTGCAGCTGCCCCACCCGAGGGCTCCTCATCAGATCTGCAGCTCCAGCCCCAGGCTGCTGGTGAGGCAGGTTTCCACGACCATGTGCCAGACAGCCAAAGTGACAGATGACCAAAATCACAGGTGGGTTTTCCACCTTATTCCCCAAATGCTACAAGGTAAGTGCTAAGAGAAGTCAGGGAAACCAGAGTCTTGGGCTTACCTGGGATGGACTCGAGGGCACTGCCAGTGGGGTCCAGTGGGTGGGCACGGGCTGAGAGAATGGGCAGAGCAGTGGGGGAGGAGCCGCTGGAACCAGCACTGGACGCCAGGCTGGACGCCACGCTGGAGCTCACGCTGGGAGCAAGCGGGTGAACCACTGTAAACACCGCCAGGTGGTTCTGTGCAGAGACACAAACAAGATGAGCAGACGCACCTGCACCAACTAAAGCAGCATGACCTAGTGCAGTCCCAGACAGACAGAAGCACTGGCTAACTCCACCCCCAAAGCAAAAAGTAATGCAAGTGGACTTGACCCCTAAATGTCTACTTATTTACAATGACCTAGACAAGCAGACTCACTAGCTGCCAATCGCCCAGGGACAGGAACAAATGTATCTAGGACAGTGGTCGGCAAACTGCAGCTCGCGAGCCACAGGTGGCTCTTTGGCCCCTTGAGTGTGGCTCTTCCACAAAATGCCGACTTCTGCGCATGGGCCACGAAGTTTCAATCGCACTGTACGTGCGTGCCCGCACGTGCTATTTTGTGGAAGAGCCACACTCAAGGGGCCAAAGAGCCGCATGTGGCTCGCCAGCTGCAGTTTGCCGACCACTGATCTAGGAAGTCTCATGTAATGAACTACTCTGCAGAAAGCGGTTTTCAAAAGTAGGCATTCAACACTAGAAAACAAACCACCCACAGACAAAGTAGTTGAGAACCAGCCCTCTTCTGAAAACTGATGACATGGTCCCATAACCTCATTACCAAAGAAAAGTAAAAAATGGGGACATTTGCCCTGACCAGTTTGGCTCAGTGGATAGAGCGTCGGCCTGCGGACTGAGGGGTCCCAGGTTCGATTCCAGTCAGGGGCATGTACCTTGGTTGCGGGCGCATCCCCAATGGGGAGTGTGCGGGGGGCAGCTGATTGATGTTTCTCTCTCATCGATGTTTCTGGCTCTCTGTCCCTCTCCCTTCCTCTCTGTAAAGGATCAATAAAATATATTTTTAAAAAAATGGGGACATTCACGTTATCTTTATATGATAGACAACAGATGAAACACAGAGAGCTGGCCCAGTCTTGGATGAAGAGCCTCGAATGTGCAGGGCGCTGTGCACAAGAAAAGCCTGCAGTGAAAATGCCCCGGACAGAGCTGGGAGCCAGCCCACACTGCGTTTATTTATTTCATTTTATTTAAAAAGAAATTTTTTATTTTTATATTATAGTTTACTGTACGGTCAATATTATTTGTATTATTTTCAGGTGTGTAACATATTGGTTAGACAATCATACTAGGTGTACTGGTTAATAATGCGGATTTTGTAATCAAAGAAAACACGATAATTTCAAGAGAAACATCAAAAGTGCTTTATTCAAAGTAATTCCATCGCTAGCTACACATTCCCCCATCTTTCAGGTAATCTGTGGATACAGTCCCAATAGAACTTTTCTGGTTTTGAGGCAAACCATTCAGAGACCCAATTTTCCACTTCTTCGTATGTTTTGAAGTGCTGCTCAGAAAGTGCGTGTGCCATCAATCGGAACAAGGAATAAGCGGTCATCTGAAGGAGCAAGGTCTGGTGAATACAGCGGGTGGGTTAATACTTCCCGGCAAGATCTTTTAACGTGTCTTTAACTGGTTTTGAAGTGTGTGATGGTGCATTATCATGAAGCAAAATTACTTTGCTGTGTCTTCTGGCACATTCTGGTTGTTTTACGATCAAAGCGTGGTTCAAGTTGATTATTTGTTGTCGGTAGCGATCAGTATTAACGGTTTCACCTGGTTTTAGAAGCTCGTAATAGTAGTACACCTCATCTTCCTGATCCCCCCAAACGCAGAGCATTGTCTTCTTTCCGAAGCGATTTGGCCTTGCAGTCGATGTTGATGGTTGACCTGGATCAATCCATGACTTTGTGCATTTGGGATTCTCAAAATAAATCCACTTTTCATCGCCAGTCACAATTTGATGCAAAAAAGACTTTCTTTCATGCCGCTGAAGCAACATTTTACTCATGACTTTTCGGTTTTCCATTTGTCTTTCGTTCAGTTGATGTGGCACCCATTTTCCTTCCTTAAAATCTTTCCCATTGCTTCTAAACGATCGGAAATTGTTTGCTGAGCAACATTTAATCTTTCTGCAAGTTGTTTTTGAGTTTGACACGCATCTTCATCCAATAATGCTTGTAATTGTTGGTCTTCAAACTTTTTTGGTTGACCTGAACGTTCTTTGTCTTTCACAACAAAATCATCACTTTTAAAGCGTTTAAACCAGCATTCACAAGTATCTTGAGATGGAGCATGTTCACCATAAGCTTCCCAAAGTATATGATAACTTCAGC